ACACCATGTGAGCCCAGTACCCACGGTACTAATTTTTATTTAAAACAATGTGCTTTCTTTCAAGTGAAGTTCCAACAATTCCACTTGTGGAGGTGTTCCATTTAAAGAGGTGTTCCACTTTACAGGTTTTGAGAAAGTTCTCATGGTGAAATGGTAGACATGGATATGATATTAGATAAAATAAGATTATACAAGTAATATTAATAAAATATTATTAAATAAGAATTATGAAATAAATTGAATTGAATAAATGACAGAACTAAATTTGCTTGCCGATCCTGAATTAATATTTTATGCAACACAACATGATATCATTTTTAATTTCACATTGTATTAATGCTTTAAATGCTATATTCATAGAGTCAAGTAGTTGTGACATATTTCCTATTGTATTGCAATTAAGTTGTATGTTGTAGGCCTATATCAGTATGCCCTACACCAAAAGAAATAAAGCAATGTAAATACGTATATGTTACTATACTTATTGTATCTTAATTATCCCAACGGACGAAGTTCTGTAGGGATATAGTAAAGCCCTCCGTCCGTCCGTCTGTCCGTCAGTCACACTGGAGGCCAAGAGAACTTATCCTGGTATTCATGTTGGAACTTGAATTCGTCCGTCTGTCCGGAGGATAACTCGAATACTAGTCAACAGATTTTCTTCATATTTAATGGAAAGATGTATATTGGTGAATAGTTTTACGCAAATTTTTCTTCAAGATGGCCGCCAGTTTGAAAATGCCGGGAATTTTTCACAAAAATCTTACGTTTTTCATTTTAAACCAAAATAATAAATATTATTATTTGAAATTTTGGCAGTATATTAACATCTGTCTATTTCACATATATATCCCGAGTTTTTCACCCTGACCCCCAGGGGCCGTAAATGGGGGTTGAGAAAACAGGAATTTGCGTTAATTTTGAGATGTATAGCTTTATTATACTCAAATGAAAGGCAATTTAGAGTAGATTGTAAATATCGTAGCGTTTTTCTGATTGGGCCCTAAAAAAATCAAAATGGCCGCCTAATGCGTGATTTCGCAATTATTTTCTGATCTCTTAAAAGTATGGCTATATTATACTCAAATTGAAGGTATTTCAGAGTAGATCACAATTATGGCATTGTTTTTCTGATTTGCGTCTTTGAAAATTCAAAATGGCTGACTAGAGCAGAAATTCGCCATTTCTTAGATTTACATGATGCTACAATGATTTAATATATTTATTGAAGGTAAGAGTAGATGGTAAATATTATTTTGTGACTGTACAGATTGATGATTTATATAGTGTTCGTTGGGATTTGCTACTCCATGGAGTTGCCATTTTCTAGTTCCTTATTGAGTTCAGTACAGAGTGATCATGACAAATTTATCACAAAAATGGACATACATCATGACATTAAATGTCATTTGAGCCATATAGTACTGTTCTTTTTCCTCCCAAACATTTACATAATGATCTAATTTGGTGGGTGTTTGGTGTACAGCTGGAAAATATTTGAAATACGATTTTGTTTCTATTATATGACTTCGAATTTAATGAGAAACAATTAAGAAAAATATTATGTAGACTAGTATAAAAATTCATTTACAGCGCGCATAAGAAGCTAAGACGATTCTCTTGGATTTACATAAATCAGTCAAAATTGGAGCACAGTACGTGTTCGTGAGTTTAATGTCCATATAACATGTTTAGTACCATGGTACATGAAGTGTGAACTATTCCATATCATAAATGAGAATATTTTAACTGAAAGAGGAAAAAATTACACTCTTGTCTATTCTAAAAATGCGGAATTTATACATATAATCATCATTCCGATTGGAATGACGCGCTAAAAAAGATTCACAGGCCAGCGGAAATTGTGCCGTAAAATATGGCGCTGTTTTAAATGCGCCCACATTGCAAAGAAATGTACCAAATCCATCCACTTCATCCAATATCAATGAATTTTCTCTTAGCTGTTATTTGGAACATGTGTAGTGTGATCGGATGAAAACATATTTTCTACACAAAATGGGCATCTTGAATTTGAATTTCGAACATTCGTCTTTAAGAAATGAATACGATCCGTCTTTAGAATAGGTTAATTGTTCATAAATGTCCGTATCTTTAAACCCTAATACTATTTACAAAGTGTCTTATCGTAGATTGATTTTTCAATTTCATAATATGATATTTGGCGTACACATTATTCAATACGCCTTTACGAGACTTATGTCATTTCTATCGTTTTATTTGGAATTTCAATGGGCGAATTTCATGTTCAAGCTTGATGTCAACTGAAGTACATCCGTGAACTATTTAAGTCGTCAACTTGGATTTTGGGCTAAAATGACGCCATTTAAGAGTTTTCATTTTAGTAAAAACTGTAACAATTTTTCATGTTCAATTGAATCATTCTTGTTTTTTGTTTGCCTAAAATTCGATACATTGCTCACGCTGTGGTCGTCTTATATATATTTTGCATTAAATATTGATCCTTAAAATTAATTCCAGATTTCTATGAAGAAAATGCATGATTAAAGAAATAATTACGTCACACGTAATTTTTGTCTCAATATTAGCCCCGTTTTAGCAATTTTCGTATTTTTAAACTGAAAAATGAATACTTAATCGTTATCGGATCAGATAAATATTTCGTATACATGAAATTAAATACCTTCCGCGAATAATGGATGATACATATTTTTATATAACAATATTTATTTGGTGTGCGAAATGACTAAACTTTAGAGATAGAAACTACAGATAGATCCGTGATTTGTGTCGTCAAACACGTTATTTGTTTAAAAAATGAGCCGTTTTAAGTTTGAGGTTTAGTAAAAACTGTAACGATCGTTGGATTTTAAGTGAATCTAAATTATTCTATGAATTAATCAGACAAAGTCGAAGTTCAAAAAAGTTAAAAGTAGCCCTTTTTCCAACGCAATTTATACCCATTTCCCGTGGTCTTGGGCAGTTGAAAAATACACCATTAGATAGAGGAGGTACTTATCATTATAGGCATACTATTTTTATTTTATTAAAGTAACATCTTGATTGCTAAACAACTCGTTAAAGACCATGCCCAATCAGGCGTAAACAAGTAGTTCGATAATGCCGAAATTATTACTACGCACTTTTTTTAAAAACCGGTAAACAACAATGGGTTTATAACGTCGGCCGACAGACTGATATGGAATCCGAAAAGTACGTCACAATAAAAACTTCTTGGAATTCAATGTATGAGTTATGAAATATGTGTAGAATTGTCCAAAGAATCCGAATCTGCAAACCAGATTTTGATCCGACTTCCGGTTCGGAAGTTATGGCATTTTGAAATCCCAAAAATCGCTATTTTGGTATCCCATGTTAAGTCAATGGGGCTTGAGAAAATTATCAATTGTAACAACACAACACTAGATACAGCTTGGATGCAGCCAACTTAATAAGAATCTACAATAGAAGCCGTCCTCAAAATCTACTTTCCTTCAAAATTTGGACACTAAAAGGCCTAGGTCAAAATCTAGGTCAAATTCATAGTTTTTCCTTTGACTACAACAAATCATATCTGAACCAACAACAAAGGACTCGTCTTTCATTGATCTCATATTTACCAATACTTTTGTTTGAAAATCAGGATATACATTCCTCTGAAGGTTCTACACTGTGTGAGCAGGACCGTGGGTCCTTTATTTCATCAGTAATGGCATTTTCCAGTTGATGGGTTTAAATATAGTATTATCAATTTTTCATTAGGGTGTCTTTAGACTAGTTGTAATGGGGTGGCTAATTACTTTAATGAATAAGGAATGTTTATCCGAACAATGTATACAAAGAAAATCTGGCCAGTTGTCCATCAGTAAATAAATCATCATGATAAAAGTATAATATATTAAAGCATCCATTTGTTACCGTTCTGAATCCAAATGATACATAGGTGCATCCATTTTATACATATATGTTGACGTCTACGAAATGTTTTTCAAATATCTTCCCTATAACAGGAAAATGGTAGCTGAAACTTTCACACATTGTCATACTATGTATATTGAATATGTATGCAAGATTTCAAGTCACAATGTTAAGTAGAAAATCTGAGATCACTTACCTCGATTTGCTGTCATATTTTTGCAATGATCCCATTCCCTATAATGTACGCGAACACCCACGATACATTACATATAAATGACTGCATCCACATAGATCGACTAGCCACAGTGTGTACAAGCCACACAACAAAGGTATGCTGTTATGGCATGTTTTGGTATTATAGATGATACATTTTTTAAGTTTATCCATATATGTGTACACCCCACAAAACAAAGGTATGCTGTTATGGCATGTTTTGGTATTATTAGATGATACATTTTTCAGTTTATCCATATATGTGTACACCCAACAAAACAAAGATATGCTGTTATGGCATGTTTTGGTATTATAGATGATATATTTTGCAAGTTTATCCATATATGTGTACATCCCACAAAACAAGGGTATGGTGTTATGGCCTCTTTTAATACTAATGATTGAACATTTTGCAAGTTTACCATCGAGGCAGTTGTGTAATGAGGCAAAACAATGAGCGAAATATGTTAACTTTAGCCAATTGAAATGTTATATAGGTCGCTTTGAAGGATTTTGTTTTTCCTCTATAAAAATAGAAATATCCTCCAGAATAACGAACCCAATTTCCAACACCTTTAAGGGCGTGACTATTTTTTCTTGATTTTTATGATAAAACAGCCTTTAGACATGTTAGAGAGATTACTGACATTGATTGTATCAAAGTTAAAAGATTTAGTAAAAAAAAATTCACAGGAAAATAAGCCTTTATGAAAGCGACAAAGTTGCGACATGTTTGCTGAACCAGTCAAAACAACCTCACCGCTGCTTGATATCATAAATCAACAGTCTGATGGCATGTGAAAATATGATATCATGGGCAAACAACATGATATCATGGGAAAACAGTTTGGTATCATGGGCCAACAAGGTGGTAGCATGGGCAAACAACATACAGAATTTGACTTGAGCTGTGACATGGAATGGGCTAATGCTAGATTAAAGACTCTATATGACTACCTCAACGAAATACAGGCATCCATATTGGATAAGGATACTGAAGGTATAAATAATCTCAACCGTTGACTATTTGAGAAAACTGAGAAAAAATCATTAACTTTTTGATTTTTCAAAATAATCCCATTGGGTCATATAAAACTATATTGGTATAACAAGTAGATGATCATGCTGACATTCAGATTTAACATAAAACTGAACCTTTAAAGTGAAAATCAACTTATACAGATTTTTTACATTTTGTCAATAAAGGTTGAGCCATTTCAGAAAACCTAAATTTTGGGGAAATTTATATGAAGATGAGGACAACTGCAGGATTTATCATACAAGTCTTCTATTTGATACCTGATTACTGATTGAATACCATCAAAAGCCTGAACATTTGACATTTTAACTGGTGTGCTCTATTTTTCCAGTGTTCACAAGTATCAACAACCCTGTGGTATATGAGGCATCAATGCGTATGATATATATAGTACTATGTAGTGATATATATAGTACTATGTAGTGGCATATAATAATCTTAACCCAGATTTTAACCACTACTTTTCGCAGTGTTCACAAATATCAACAACCCTGTGGTATATGAGGCACTGATGTGTATGACATATATAGTACCATGTATTGACATATATAACTCAAATTGTAACCTCTACTTTTCCCAGTGTTCACAAGTATCAACAACCCTGTGATATATGAGGCATTGATGTGTATTCTGAGCTTGACTGCAATTATTCTACATACAACAAGCGACCATGATCTAAATCTACAAATCTCAGCCACTGTTAACCGATTTTCTGAGGTAATTCTCCTTGTATTTAAGAAAAATTAAGCCACGATAAGGAATGTTGTGAGCAAAAATAGTCTAGCTACAAGCCCTTGTGACCCCCCTCCCCAGAAGTGAGGAGATGTGTAAGATGTGTGAGATGTGTGTAGTCAATCAGGTGGGTCACAGGGTCTTGAAGCTAAACTAAGCAAAACATTCTGTTAATCTGTTAATACCCAGTGTAAATATTCAATCTACCTTGCTCCATCTAATAAAGTCAACAATATTAACTGTTGACTCGTACAATGTATTG